ACCTTAACAATGATGGGGGTGCATCACCTCCGCCAGCACCAACAATACTCTCTAGGGTAGTGACGGGATACGGCACAACAACTGCCTTGATAACACGTGATACATAAGGATCAAACATGCAAACCAAACCAGGTTGACCACCAGAAAGATCCTTTAAGCCTACRACCAGACGATCGCGATCACCCATTGGAAATGCTGCCACAGCACTGATAGWAACAGCTCTTTTCTCCTTGGAGCCCCATCCAAACCTCCACGCTGCCTCTCGAAGCCCTGTTTTGGTATTCACAATCTCTAAAGACGATCCTCTGGCTAGCCATGCTAGTTTACCATTGTCAAAAGCAGAGCCGGAGATCAGTGAGCTTATATCTTCAGAAAGATCAGATCTTTCAAGGCAWTCAATAGTTGCACTGGCGTAAGATATCAAATCAGATGAACCGTTTGGAGACAAAACATCTTGCATTTTGGACAACTTTTTGAAGCCCTTTCCGTCCAAAATACCCCAAATTTATAATACGAAATTTGGATAGAACAATCTCGGGAAGCTTTTCAGTAAGTTCAACGAGATCAAGCGTTAAAAAGTARTTTTTCTAGGGCAAACAAAATCACATTTTCTTGGTTCAAATTCCAACACAATCAAATTTCACGCGCCAAATGCAGTAAAGCGCATGTGTGAACTWTAGATTCAGCTGGCTGTATTGATTGCAGGCGAATAAACACAGGCAGCCCAAGAGATTAAAAATTTAACCTTTTCTTTCCTTGTGAGATTGGAAACGTTTTTGTAATTTCCATTGCTCTTTTGCAATATGGTGGCCAGTATCCAGTCTAAAAGAGAATTTTTGCAGTACTTGTATTTTATACGGCCAAGTCTCCTATTTAGCGGCCACTTGACAATTTCACCGAGWGTGGCCGGCCATTCGATATAAGTTCTCATTGAATTTCTATTCATCCATATTTTCACATTCTACTGGCCGATGACCGTTTCATTCTCCGTGATTCACGGGATTCATACCTCCCCCCACCCCCCTCTTTACACTTCGTAGCGACCGGTTCTCTATAGTTTTTCAAGCTAGTCAGCTAATGTTTAGGTTGGCGCTTGTGCGCGCGATCCTTTGCGTCATTCGAGACTCGGAACTTCTATATTTTCTTGTGCTTTTTCAATAGCATTAACTTCACAATAGACCACCAGACCACTTACTTGAACCAAGGGCACTTTCAATGGCTTATGACGTCATCTTTCGTAAGTGACTGTAAAGAGAACCTGTCGTTACCTGTAACACCAATATACGCGGCTCCCCTAAAGAACCTCGGACAATAGAGTACTCTTTGGACGGTAATATAACACGACAATAGACCATATTTTTACTACGGTGATTCGTAGTCGAACTGCATGTAGTTGCATGTTTTGCTCGAAGCAGACTCCGAAATAATAAAGCGGTCTTCTGACAGTACCTTATCTGTT